TTTGTTGAGTTTAATGGATACAACAGACTAGTATTGTTTTCCTTCATTTTTTCTAATATCTAGCACTGCAAATTAAAAACAATTGTGTTGATATATGATGGAGCTGCAGCTATATATGCCCTGTTTTAAGGCCTGATTGTGTTCTAGTCTGATATTGCGTGACAAGGAAGTGGAACATAAGAACAAACCCCATCTTTACTCTGTTACCATTACACTAAATATCATATTTACTTGATTAGAAGACAAGGTTTTCCCCCCTGTTTAACATGGGGGGGAAAGCCCCTTGCCTTAATGTCAAGCATGAGGAGGAGGAGAGGGGCAGCAACTGCTGAGGCTCTGGCCCAAGCCCAGAGTTGGGGCTGAAGCTGGAGCCAGAGCTGCCACCTGTCTCCCCCAGCTGCCTCTGCATGCCCTGCCATTCCTCCCTAACAGGCCCCAGTATTTCCTTCTGGCCACACCGCTCCTCCATCTCTCTCCCTCTCTGCCACACTCCTCCTTACCTTTGCTCCAAACCAGCAAGCTCTGCCCCTGCGGCAGGCCGGGGCATGGAGCATGGCTTCAGCCTGGCCCTATAGCAGTGGCATGGAGCTAACACTGCTGTTCCAGCCCAGCCCCATAGCATCGGTGCTAACACCGTGCCACTGCGGCTACAGGGTTGGGCTGAAACAGCAGTGCCAGCTCCATATCACTGCTATGGGGTAGACTGGAGCTATGCTCCATGTCCTGGGCTGGAGCAGGGATAGAGATTGCCCATGCAGAGCAAAGGTAAGGGCGGGGAGGGGTGTTGAAGGCCGGGTGGGGTGGGGGGGAGATGGAAGAAAGGGGGGTAGGGACCTGAGGCTGCAAGTGGCAGAAGCAGCATGGAGAGGGGAGGAGCAGGGAACAGGAGAAAGGGGACTAGGGGCAACCTGAGGCTGTGGGGGGGCAGGCACAGTGGGGGCTAAGTGCAGTTGGCAGGGAGACAGGCAGCAGGGGGCAAGCTCAAGCTGCCTGCCTCTCACTGCCTACCCCCTACCACCTGCCTCCCATTGCCTGCCCCATTACTGCCCCCCCACTCCTGCTCTACCACATGCCCCCTTACTGCTTCCCCCAGTGTCTGTGCCCTACCACCTGCCCCATTACTGCCTCCCTCATCACATCTTTCCCTGCCATCTACAGCAGTTGGGAGAGGGGGAGGGACAAATTTAAGATGATCCGCAAATAATTAGATTCCATACATGGAAAATTACAGTAATTTATTGGGGGGTTATCTTATATTCAGGGTCATCATGTATGTGAGTTAATACAGTAGTTGTGTTGTGCTGCTCATCACGAGTATTTGAGAGAGAGAGCAAAAGCGAGAACATGGCTTGTAGCATCACTGCAACTTGTCCTGGGAAAGATCTAGTGGTAGGAGCCAGGCAAGAATGGACTCAGATACTCTAGTGGTAAAAATAGTATAAAAAACCTTAATAGAATGGAACTAAGATCCTGAGAAGGGAAGAAAATCACAGTAAAAGAGTAAGACAGATAGAAGAGATATCAGAAGGTGAGGGAAAGAAAACTGGAGGATGAACATTAAAATAACTCAAATATTTTTTGAGTGGACACTTCTCACCTTATTCTTGAAACATCATGTGTACACAAATTGGATTCTTCTCCTTAATATGCAACTCTGCTGCATTCCTGACTTCAGTCTCTATTCTCTTGAAGAACAAGCATAAACCTTGTGGCAGAATGCCATCTCAATATGGCCAGGCAGCCCCATCCCTGTGTGCTTCAGGTAACCCTGGAGTATAACCTGAGCTGGATACATTCCTGAGGGAGGGGAAACCTGTTCCTGTGGATATGAGAAGCTACAGGTATCAGGTTGGGAGAAGAGGTGAATGACCCTGTCCCTCTGCCCAGTAACCAGTGATGCATTTCAAAGGTTGGCTGGCAGCCAAAATCTGCTGGCTTTTATTGGGTCAGGTAAATGAGGTCAGAAGGTCTATATAAGCCAAGAGTGCTGCGGGGGCGGGGGGGGAGGCAACCGTGATGAAGACACAGAGCAGCTGAACATCTGCAGCTCTCTCTCTCTCTCTTGAAATATATGGACACACTATGAACTGCCTGCCTCCAGAGGAAAGCTCTATCAGCCTCTGGATGATGCTTGTGAGAACCTACAAACCTGACTAGAAACAGGCAGTCCTCAACTTACAATGTTTTGAGTTACAATGTTTTGCACTTACATTTATAAATTGACACCTTGTTTCAACTTTATGACTTCAGTTTCAACTTACAAAGCTTGATCCGATGCAACGCCATGCCAGCGAACGTGTTCGCTATGTCACTTATCTCCCTGGAGAATATCTGTCCAAACTTGCTTGGACACTTTCTTTAAGAAAGCAGACACGACTCTAGAAAAAACTTGCAGCCAAGTCTCCTGAGAAGACTCCAGCCAAGAACCCTTCAAAAAGTCCAGCAAAGTCACCTCAAAGAAGTCCTTCCAAATCAATATGATTGCTATTTATGATATATAATACATTAATGTAGCTATATTACTCACCTGTGATTGAGTACAACATTCCGAGGTATTTTTGGTGAAAATAGGGTATCAGGCCTTGGTTCAGGAACCAATCCCCCATTTATAACATTGTTTCTTATGAACTCTTGGTTCCGAGTTACAACATTTCAACTTAAAATGCGGTTTTCAGGAACCAATTGTGTCATAAGTCCAAGGACTGCCTGTATATATCTTGCAGTAACTCAGATGTGTGATCAAAGGCTACCCAGCCACACAGTTTGCTCTAAGGTATTTCTCCGATTTTGCTGTACCCTATTCCAAACCTACTCCTTGTAATCAATAAAGCTGTCCACTGTACCTAGCGTGGAAGACTTATTGGGAGAGGGTCTAGATTATGCCTTGGGGGTCCCCTTGGTCCGGCTGACTAAGGGAGACCACTATTTGTGCTTCAGACTAAGGGAAGCACCCCAAGTTCTTGCAGTGGGTTGAGTACCCATCCGATCTATAAAGCCTGTAGAGCTTTATTAACCTCAAGAAGCACAGAGCCACTAACAAACTGAGACTCTTGAGTGGTGACAGTGTTACTCCCAGGCTTGTGGAGGAGCTCCAGGAAGAGGGTCAGCCAGACGTAAGGCACCCCCAGGGAGGCACTTGGAGCTTGATAGGTGCAGTAAGTTGGGAAGCTTGGTGCAGGACCACCCCCTGTTGGGCTGCCACAAACCTTAATCTGAGTTCCCTTTGTAATGGCAATTTCTAGGGTTCCCCCCACCAGCTTTCCTAGCTTAATCCTCTACTCACTCAGAGCCACTCTACATTTTATCTTTGTAAATGGGAACTAATAGGTCCTACCTTGTCTGGTAGAATGACACAACAGAATACTTATTTGTATCTAACATACCCTAAAGCACATATATACAGGATTGTACATGTGGATGTTCAGGCTTACAATTATAATTTTACCAGCCTAGATGCATTAGAAACTGAAAAAAATTAGGTTGAATTTGGATAGGCAATGCTTTGTCCTACAGGTTTTGATTGCAAAATCAAAATCCAGCAAGGACTGGATCAAAATTAATTTCCAAAATCATGACACTTTTGAAAACCCATTTTGTAGACGTAAGTATAATTGTATAGATTATTTAGTATTCATATATCTAGTTTTTAAAAATAAATACATTTAGAAAGCAATCACCTCATTGGCAACCAGGAGAAACTTCCCGAAGCAAATAATATTTTATTGTTTATTTAATTACATTCATTTATTAATAAATTTGTTAAATTAATGATTGGATTCTACTCTTCAGACCGTGGGGGATGGGAGTAAGGTGGGCTGGCAGGGGACACTGGCGGAGCAGGGCAGGCAACAGACACAGAAAGGTTAAGGAGAACTCACCCACTGCTACTGCTGCTACCATTGTCCCCCACTGATCTGGGGGTGGTGGGAGCCCCAGATCTGCTCCTAACTCACTGCAGCCAGGGGCTGTGGGGACCAGCCACTCAGGGTGCCAGGGTCACCTGGGGACAATGGCAGTGGTGCGCAGATTCCCCTTTTTGGCACCTGTTCCCTGTCTGCCACTCCCCCACAGGTGTCCCGGGCTGCTTGGAAGTATGTGCTAGTAGGACGAGCCCACTCACAGCCACTGCTGTCCCTACCCAAGTCAGCTCCTTGTGCAACTGCTCCCCATGGCCCCCCAGCTGGAGTGGGACAGGAGTGGCTCCAGGTTTTCCCTCATGCCTGCAAAAGCTGGAGACAGAGGTGGCAGCAGGCAGGTTCCCCCTTCCAGCACTTGCTCCTGTCTAGCAGGGGACATGGAGGGGCAGGGGCGGCAGGGAGCAGGTGCAGGAAACGGAAACATGTCCTCCATTGCTGCTATCCTCTGGTGAGCCTGACACCCCACACAGCTGCAGCTGGAGTGGGGCAGAAGCAGCTCTGGGACTCCCCTGTACCCGGCTCTGCCAGAAACTGGCAGCAGCATCTGGTAGAACTTAGAAATAAACTGGTGTTTGGAGACTGGAACATCTGCCTATATTCCACTTCAGGGTTGGCATGAGTCTATATTGGTTGTGTGCAAAAAACACATACCCAAGAATAATGATCTGTCACAATGTATATCTTCAGAAAAGAACAGTTACAAGTAAGTACATTCCTGGTCCAAGTTTTAGAAATTGGATTTTTCTTTTAGGTTAGATGCAGCTGGACCAGCTAACAATTTTCCATGAGAAAGTTTATTCTTTAAACACTTTTAGCACTCAAGCATAGTAATTTAAATGTGCTTGCATTCTGAACCGTGTTTGTAGATGACATAAATAATATGTTTATGTATGCTGAAATTATTCAACTGGATTGTCTTTCTCCATATGAAAATTAGCTATCATTTATGCTTATTATGAATATGCATAAATTTAGCACAAGAAAACTGACTTGCGCAAGTGTATTATAACTGTTGTCCTTTACTACCCTGATATTTACAACCTGCAGCATAATACGATTACATGCTTTTGACTCACTTTCTAGGAACCAACAAAAGAAGATGTCTATGTTCCTCAGGAAGAGATGACTACTACAAAGGATTCCCCCAAGCCAAAGGTGAGTTTAAATTACTCTCTAGAACAATTAATCTAACAAGACACTTAAGCAAATGGTTAGCTTTAGACAGAAGGACTTCTCTCACTGTTTAGATACTTGCATATATGAATCAGGGCTTGACTCTCTACTGTACAGCATGATATTATGTTGATGCTTTCGATTTTATTGAGACCAATTTGAAAGTGTGTTAAGAAACCATTTTTTGCTGCCTGATAAACATTCCAAACCCCAGTTCTCCTGTTCTTAAACTCTCACTGAAGTCAGCAGAAAGGTTGCCTAAGAAATGACTACAGAATCAAGTCCTACTTTGCTAAGAGAACTGTTGCAAGCTTAGCAATATTAGTGTTATTCCATTGTGTTAATTTAAATGTACATGTTTCAAAAGGCAGACACTTAAGCTATATTGAACTCAGCTCAGAAATGGATAACGCATTAAAATTATGCTTTTCATTTCTTTAAATTGATTTTAGAGCACCTGTGAGCACCATTCATTCAGAAATCTCTAGAGCCAGATTTTTGTACTGGTGCATTTTGGTGTTGCTCCTCTAAGGTCAGTAGAGATACACAGATTTACACCTGCTGAATATCTAGCCTATAGACAGATTTTTTTCAGCCTTTACCCAAAGTGACCCAAATCCATTATTTTAAATATTGAAGGTCTTAGAAATATTTCACTCAAATGCCTCCTCCTGCTAAGCACAGAACAATTACTGTGGCAAGCCTGCTGCTGTAATTCATCCAAGATCACCCAAGCATATGTTCTAGTTGGCGTGTACTTAGTCCTGTCATATAAGTGTGCAGAATTACAGTATAGTTTGTGACTATCTACACTGAAGCAGTTCGAGCACTATCAATTTAAAGAAAACCTTGGAAGCTGGTTACTGCATTGACCATTCTAAAGTACATTTCACTCTCCACATTTGGATTTTACAATCCATCAATAAGCTCCTTTTTTCAGTGTGTGTTAACCTTTACCTTGGTTTAAATCTGCTAAATCTCCCTTCTGTTTAGCACAAAATTGAATGTGCTATGGAGGATGGAGAATGGAGGATGATTTGATCATGATTTTGCCTCGGTATAAAAGTAACGAAAAGAATGCAAAAGAGAAAGTGTTGTGTGCAGGGGCAGATCTGAGGGGGAGAAGGGTGCACTAATGCACTTGCACCTTCCTTTGATTCCTGGTTCACTCAAAATTTAAAACCAGCTGCTTGGCAGGGGCAGCTGCGTTTCTAACCAGGCAGTGCTAAGGAGCTTGACTGACTTCATGGCTCATTATTAGGGACCTACCCAAATCGAGGAGGCAGACAGCTTGAGGTGCAGTTTCTCAGAAACCCCCACATGTATCTCTTTGAAACCTGGCAGGCTTAATGGCTTCAGAAGGGGCTACCATCCCTGCTGTTTTCATCCAAATCTGCCAAAAAATGACCATGTTATAGGCAGTTTCATGATTCCCCATTATTGCCTATGGGCAAAACATCAAAATAGCATTGATACAGCGAAACAGTTTCGACGAAACAAAACAGAGCAGTGCTTTAAAATGAAATGAAACTCAGAACAAAACACTGTCCTGTCAAAATGGCAGTCAAAACAAAACAGTGCTATTTCGCACAGCCCTAATGGGCATCCCCTATCTGTGGCTTTTGGCATACTGGGAACTTGAAGATGGAGGTTCCTGGCTAACAGGTCTTGCCTCTCTGTTCAGGTTCAAACTAGTTACCATCTTTGGGGTCAGGAAGGAGTTTTGTGCCATGGCCAGATTGGTATAGACTCTGGGGATTTTTGAAGTGGCAGATAGGGAGGGTGCAGAAAGCAGAGCAGCATACCAGGTAGGGGAAAGGGATCAGTGACACTCAGGGAGTTCGTAGAGCTAATTTGTAGCATGCCTGCTAAAAAGGTTAGCCCTTACTGTTTAAAACAAACAACAAATAAGACTCCAAAAAGCATATCTTTGAAATTATAAAAGTTTTATGAGAGTGTCAGATGTCTGGTTTAGAATCACTTATAAATGCTGCTGTTCATCAAAAGCATCAGCTGGCCTCTCTGTACTGATGCAATGCGTTTTGTTTGGTACAGAGAGACTGAGACAGGAGCTAAAACCTTCCTCTTAAATTATGCATTACTTTTTTTTCCCCCTGCAAACCTTTAATGTGTGCAAGGAAGAAAATCTCCTACTGCATACTTTCTAAGGAGCATAGTAAAGAAATCCCTTTTGTTCCTATGCAATCAACCCTAGAATAATCTCTCTCCTGCGCACCTCTGCAGGACTTTAGCAGATGCATAGGTCTGCAGCCAATTCCCATGTATGCTTTGGGTATTTCTGCATAACGCAATGTAGTGCCATGCAGAGATCTGAGCCAGCTTATGTACAAGAAGCTGTATCTGCAAGGCACTGCATTGTACTATGTAAATATACCCTTTGACTCTGTCCAGGGACACCCACATTATATGTTGCAGCGAACAACAAATTTACTCATGCATTCATGCACAGTGAGCCCTGCTTTCATTACATGTATTACAAGGTTAACAAAAAAGATGCAAAAAGTAATGCATGTGCATAGCATGCAATTTTAAAAGGATGATAACAGTGAAATAAAAATAAATTTTCTCTGGAACGCTCAAAGATACTACTTTTAAGTGAGAGTTAGTTCCATGACACATATGAACTTTTTATCTTCTATATCAGGAGTTGTCAATTATTTCAGCTGGAAGGCTGCTTAATGAGTTTTGGTGAGCTGTCAAGGGCCGTGTGGCAGGGCACTGTTGGTGCCTGCCACTTTAAGATCAGAGCCAAGCAGCCAGCAGATGCTTGATTGTGGTAGCCATTTTAGATCCCTGGCTGCCTATATAACTAGATCTGTTCCCTGCTGGCAGGCCAGGTAGCAACACTGCCTGGCTGCTGGTATCATCCTGGAGGTAAGGGAGGAGATGTAGGGGATGTCTTGGAGGCTCCTAGTCCTGGGCATGACCTAAAACTTCACCCTGCCAGGAGTGGGTGGCCTGGTGGGGCTCTCAGTGGTGTGGGAGCCCTCAGCAAATGCCAGGCCAGTTACCACCCCAGTGAAAAGCGGGTCGGGGTGCCTTAACCCCAGCTTCCACGACTGGGTGGGTCACCTGCTACTAGGGCCCAAAGGGCAGACCCCAGGGGAGAGAGTGGAGCTAGACACTCAGACCTGATAGAGAGAGTACACTTGACTGGTCAATGCTGGAGCCAGGACCAGAACCATCAAAAGGGCCAGGGGCCCACTGTGAGGGATGCCCGGAGCTAAGAGGGCCTGGGGTTTCTGACTGGCCTTGGAGGTGAGGCCAGCGCCTGTATGGCCAAAGGTCCCGGGGGGTGCCACCCAAGAGGGGAAAATAGTTTCAGGGAGCTAGATAGCCTGAATGAAGGTGGGGTAGGCTGCTGGAATGGAGGGATCTCAGAGGGGTCCTGATTAGAGAAGTCTGGGGCCCAGTGTGTGGCCGGCGAGATTAACATCAGCAAATGCCATCTGCGAAGCATGGGCTGCAGTGTAGGGGAGGTACAGAGCCACAGATAGTGCCCCCTGGCATCAGAGCAAGAAACAGGCAGCCTCCCGCCTAATTAAGATCATTAACCAATTAACAACAAGGCATGGCAGGTAAGAAGGCAGGCGGTTGGCCCAGAAACAGGTGGGTGGAGCAAAGGCAAATCAGCCCTAAGAACCCCCTGTTACAGGCCGCAAGGATTTATGTGCATTTGTTAGAGGTGTTAGCAGTGATCACATAATAGCTCAAAATACAGTCTTATTCTTGTATATTGTGTGGCGGGGGTAAGGGGGTGTTTGTAGGGGGTGGTTGGGAAGTGGGTATGTGTGTGGGGAGGTATGGGTGTGGTCAGTGGGGTGTGGGAGGGAGGGTTAGGGTGGGTGTTGTATGGTGGAGGGTGGTAGTGTGTGTGGGGGATATGGGCGTCTGTGGGTGTGTAGGGGATTATGGTGGGGTGTGGGGGAGCTATGGAAGAGTGTGGATGTGCTTGAGGTTATGGTGGAGGGTGGGGTATGTAGGTGTGTGTGTGCAGCAGGGAGGTCCTCACAGTCCGCGGAGTGTGCAAGTCCCTGGAGCTGCATGTGGTGGTATAACTCACAGCTGCTGCATTCCCATCCCAGTCCCCAGCTGCACATGGTGGCAGCAAGTGTGACCAGCCCAACCCAGCCCCATAGCATGCAGCTCCTACGCTCTTGCAGCATGGGGTGCCAGCCCAGCTTGGCCCCATAGCACACGGTACCACACAGTCCCACCCCGTTTTCCCCAATGGAAGGCCCTGGCCCTGGCCCTGGCCTGATGGGGCCCTTACCTGAATGTCCATGCTTGCAGGCAAGGAGGCCTGGAACAGCCATGGGGTGTCTCTAACACCCCTTAGCTCAGGGCTGGGGGCAGTCAGGCCAGGCTGGAGTGGGGGTTGTTTGTTTAGCAACCAGAGCTGTACGTCCTGTACAGAGGCACTGGCTTGCAGAGGGGCACCCCATGGCCAGGGCTTACAGAGGGGCCCCGCAGGCCAGATGGAATTGCCTGGCAGGCTGGATCTGGACCACGGGCTGTATTTTGCTCGCCTCTGATCTATAACTTTAACTGTAGAGTTAGTCAAAAATGTTGCGAGAACTTTTTTTTGCCTTGTAATGGGGAAAACATATTAATTATTTTATGTATACTTTAAGAATATGACAGACAGAAATGTAGCCTGTCTGATGTCAGGTAAGGATTTCAAATAGTGATTAAAAGCAGAAGGTTAGAATGGAAACTAGCATGCATCCTCAACACTGGATGCCACTTCTGTCCCAGTCATAATGAAATATTTTCACTAACACAATTTTTTTTCCTTTTCATTATCTTCAGTCTGCTCCACAGGAAAGTCTGAAGAAACCTGCTCCATTCAAGCAACTAGAAAAGAATCTGAGGACTCTCAGTAAAGATCTTACTCATACAAGGTAAAAATGTGACGGAAAGTGACCGTTTCAGAGTCACAGGTAGAAAGATGAGGGATTTATTGAGCAGCAGTAGCAGCAATAAGGTTAAGCACATAATTGGCAGCAATCCCAAGAGTTCAGAAGAAGGAATATATTATTCTGTTTGTATAACATTGACACTTGCTGCTAATGTTATCATCTTAACATAAAGTTAACAAACAAAACATTAAGAATGGGTCAAGAATGGAATAGAAAACAATAGGGAAATGATTATAATGCCACTGTAGGAATGAATATATGCAGTCATTTAAAATAATCTATTTCATTCCCATCTCAGACATAGAAGTAGAAAGTTGTAACACCTCTGGCTGAGTTCTGCTAATGTATTATCACTAAACTGTTATAACCTGGGTTCCTGGTTTTCTCTGATTTAAAAAAAAATCCCCAATTTTCAGGTTTAAAAAAAAAAATCCAAAATCCACATTTTTCTATGATCAAAATGAAACACCATATATATCTATGTATTAGTAGCATTTCATTTTAATCACAGGAAAATGTGGATTTGGGTTACTACTTTAACCCAAAAAGTGGCTGGGTTTTTTTATCAGAGAAAACCAGGATCCCTGGTTGGGTTTGGTTACAACTTTTGGATCCTGTGTGCTTTTAAGAGAGTAGAATCTGGACAAGAGCGATTTGCATGTTTTATCTTTGCCTCCAATGTCAGCTTCCAATATGTAGACTCCCTGTCTGATCCATGCCGTGATATGTGAGATTGCAGTCCAGTTGTCCAGAAACCAGAACAACTCTCAAGCTTCCTCAGTCACTTATGTGGGCTTCCCAAGAGCTCTGCCTCCATGGGCACTCGAGGTTCTAGTTTCTCTCTCTGGAGAGGTAGTAAACAGATCAACAAGATTGAAACTCCTTGATGCATAGCACAAGTGTTTAAATCTCACTTCCTGATTGCAAAGCAGACGTACCCCCAAGTACCATTTATTATATTTGTTCAGTAATAACTTAAGTAGTTATTAAACTGCATTTGTATAGTCTTTTAAAATGTTTTCCTGGAAACTTCTAACTTTCTAAATGTGAATGTTAATGTTAACTTAGAAAAAAAAATTAAGTTTTTGCAACTAAAACAACAAGCAGTTGTATTAAAAAAGATGATTTACTCCTGACAGGACTTAGTTATAACCTGCTGCAAATAAACACTGACAAATTACCACTGGCAATCCCAGCAGCATACAGATTACACAAGTGTTTACAACAAGGTCTGTAGACTTAAAGTCTCTGAAAGCATTTTCCACACAACAATTGCCAAATTAAAGCAAGGAGCAATAAGGAAGACAGATCATTATTCCAAGAAACAGATCATTTCTTAGGTTAAGCCTGGAAAATGTTGTGTTTTTTGAATTGCTGAAAGGCTTTATTAGCAATATATATATTAAAAACAAAGATTTATGACCTGCAACATTAGCATAAGCTTATAATTGCACAAAAGTTGAGAAACTCTGAGCTATACTTCTCAAAGTAAATGTAACTATCCTCTTGGAACACACGTTATAGTGCAACTAGAACACTAAAGGTAGGTACAGATGTTATACTTAATGTGCATTAAGCACACAGTAAGTGCTTTAAAGTCATAACAGAACAGATGTTCATGGCACTTAAAGAGTTTTAAAAATGGCAGATCCTGCTCTAAGTTAACCCGCAATGGATGTGGTATTAGACTAAAGCACTTGAGGTTAGAGCACTTTTTTGAACATCTGTACCATATCCATTGTACTTCAGCACGCAATTTTGCTGTCATCCCAGGGGCCCCTCACTGGGTGGCTTGCTAGCCTCAGCTAGTGCTCATCTGCTTCAGAGCACTTCAGGGGAGAGGGAGAAAATGGAGCCTCTCTGCCGTGTGGACCCGGCTCAGACCCCACCAAGCCCTGTGCCCACAAGCTTGGAGGGCATCTCCCAATTGCAGCCAGGCTGTGCCACTTTTTATTGCACTGGGAACAGAGAGGCTTCATTTCCCACCCTCCCCCCTGGGCCCAGTTCCTGGCATGGCAAAAAGTCAAGCCAGGCAGCCCTGTGCTGGAGCTTCTAGCTGCCATTGTCAGGAGGCTTAGGGGATGGGGGGCGGGGAAAGGAACCCCCCACTACAAAGGCCACCTCACAGCTTGCTGGCTGGGGTCTCAGGGTGGGGGGGAGATCTGGGCTGTGTCCACATGGAAGGAACCTCCCATCCCAGCCACTTGACAGCTGCAGCCAAGAGTTGCAGTGGAGGGCTGCCCAGTCCAGCCCAGCTTATCACCATGCCAGAAACTGGGGCCAGCAGGGGGAGGAAGGGAGCCCCCTTATAGTACAGATCCACCCCCACCACCCAAGACCCCAGCCAAAAAACTGTGGTGGGGGTACTCCCTTTCCTCACCCACCTACCCAAGCCTCCTGACAACAGCAGCCAGAAGCTGCAGCACGGGGCCGCTCAGCCCAGCTTTTTGCCACATTTGGAACTGGGGCCAGGCGGGGAAAGGACTCCCCTGCTGTGAGAGTGTGCCCCTCCCCACACACACACAGTTTGCTGGCTGGAGTCTCAGGGGGGTGCCAGTCCAGGTCCATATGCAGGGGTCATAGAAGTCATAGAATCATAGAAGTCGGGTCGGAAGGGACCTTGTAGATCTTCAAGTCCAACCCCCTGCCTGGGCAGGAGAAAACTGGGTTCAAATGACTCCAGCCGGGTAGGCATCAAGCCTCCTCTTAAAGACCCCCAGGGTAGGAGCCAGCACCACTTCTCTTGGAAGTTGGTTCCAGATCCTAGCCGCCCTGACCGTGAAGTAGTTCTTATGGATGTCTAATCTAAACCTACTCTCCAACAGCTTGTGGCTGTTATTCCTTGTTATGCCAGGGGGCGCTAGGGGAAACAAGGTCTCTCCCAAACCCTTCTGGTCCCCTCTAGTGACTTTATAGACAGTCACCAGGTCCCCCCTCAGCCTTCTCTTGTGAAGGCTGAACAGGTTCAGGTCCC